AATCTATTGCATGTTCCCTTGGTAAATTTTTAACTACTTTTAAGCTTAGAACATCCTTCCTTATTTAGAACCCATAAGAATAGTAAGTGTAAAATCTCAAGATATGTAAAGGCACCCTGGTTGGTGTTGTTAAATGGTTAGAGCATCAACTCCCACACTGAGGGTTGTGGTTCAATTCCCAGTCAAGGGCACATATCTGGGTTGCAGGTTTGATTCGTGGCCCAGGTCCAGAGGCCTGTGGGAGACAACAAATCAATGTGTCTCTCTCATATCAATGTTTCTCTCTCTGTTTCTCTATCTCTTCCCTTCCTTTCCCCCTTCTTTCCCTTCCTCCCTTCCACTCTCTCTAAAAATCAATGGAAAACCCTAGCCGGTTTGGCTCAGTGGCTAGAATGTCAGCCTGGGAAATGAAGGGGCCTGGGTTTGATTCTGGTCAAGGGTACATGCCCTGGTCACGGGCTCGATCCCCACTTTGGTGTGTGCACGAGGCAGCCAATCAATTATTCTCTCTCATCATTGATGTTTCTATCTCTCTCTCCCTTTCCCTTCCTCTCTGAAATCAATAAAAAATATTAAAAAAATAAAAATCAATGGAAAAAATATCTCTGGTGAGGATTAAGAAAACAAACAAACAAATAAAAGATATAAAAAGATAACAATATTTATCTGATATGGATTTCAATATGTGTCAAAGCTATACATTGACTTTGGTTTTATTCCTTTCCAATAACCAGCTAATTTTTTTCTTGGTAAGATAGCTTGATTTTGTACATATATTATATATAAAACTATATAGATAGTCTTAATTCATTCTTAACCAATTATATAATAGGTGCTTAATTTATGTTGTCAAAAGAAACCTCTTAATGGAATTTGAGTCCTTGGTTCAGTTGTTCCTAACGCTTACCTGTATCCTGCTGTTTGGTTTCCATGAGATATTTTCATTTTGCCTTTTAATAAATTTCTCTTATTACATAAGCTAGCTTGGTTTCTGTCCGTTGTAAGCAGAAGTGCTGAGTGACATGGATCATGAGATCTAAGGAGGACTGCTCGGTTCTAACTCATTCTGGCTTATTTCAGAGGGAGTGCCTTTCCATTCACGTGGGCCAAGCTGGCATCCAGATTGGGGATGCTTGCTGGGAACTGTATTGCCTGGAACATGGAATCCATCCAGATGGTTTTATTCTTGACAATAGAAAGGATCAGTTGGAAATTGCTAAAACAGAGCATATGGATGCCTCTTTCAATACCTTCTTTTGCGAGACAAGAGCTGGGAAGCATGTGCCCAGAGCACTCTTCATTGACCTAGAGCCAACTGTTATAGGTAAGGTTTTACATTCCAGTGTGCTTAACCAGGGTCATAATCAAAGCAAACAAATCAAGTATCAGTAGGTAGGACTGTCAGATTATACAGTCTACCTGAACAGGAAGGTTCAAGTGATCTTTCAACAACTCCATTAGGAAACATGGTTGTCATCCTCGATTTATAGATGAGGAAACTGTGTCTTGGGAAGGTTGTAGAACTTGCCTTAGTTAGATCACTGAGAATAATTGTCTTTGTTTCCAGGTATGCCTTCTTATAAGAGCCATTATATTTTAATAGAAAACCAGCATAATTGAGTGCAGAAGAAAATATAAATAATTAACACAACACTAATAAATGTATTAAGTTAAGCCATACAAAATTGCCAATGGATGATTTTTTTTTACCTAAAAAATGTCAGTTTCATATGATACAACCTCATAATAGAAATTTCTGCAAAGTACAGCAGTATTACTGAAGCAGAATAAGTAACTGGGGAGTCATCAAAGCTCTCCTCCTGGGGAACAACATTTGCAAATTCACCGAGGCATGGAGGAACATGCAAGTTTAACAGGAGTTCAGTGTGGCTGGAACTCCCAGTATGAGTAGGAAAATGGTGGGAGAGAAGACTAGGAAGATAGCTGACCTAAGATAGTCAGCTTAGGTAGGGGGAAGTAAGGAGGTATGGTCATGGAAAAGATTTTGCAAGTTTAAGATTTAGGGGGAGACAGTTGTGAGTGATGGTGATTTAAGTGGAGTGGAGCTGAATGGCAGTGGGGGAAAGGAAGCAAAGGAATCATCAAATAATTGTGTTTTAAAACCATGGAAGTCACAGGGGATTCTGGGCCAGGTACGTAAGTCTCTTATCAATGTGAAAAGCTCCAGAAAGTTGAGTGGACAGTTTTAATGGTACTGTAATCGCTGATTTACAAGAAAGTGGATTTCACTGAAAGAATTTAGGGAACTAATAGTCTCAAGATCTCAACTGGACATTATCATGAAAAAGCAGGCTTTCATAAATTCCATAAACTCCCTCCTTAGACTGAACTCAGCCTTAGAGCTTCAGGTGAGAAGCAGAGTCTACCCAGAATTAGTTTCCTGCTTATGTCTTATTTATAAATATAACTTAAAAAAAACCCCAACTTTGATAGGTTTTTTTTTGTGTGTGTGTGTGTATGTCAGTTAAAAGTCATTTAAAGTCAATATTAGTAAATTTCAACATTTGGGGGTGTACAAAATTCATGGTCATATCATATACAGGAGAGCAAGACAATTTGAGAGAATAATCTTGCTCTTAGAAAATTAGTGCATTTCCTTGTAGGCAGTGAGCTTCTGTGACTATCTATGAATATCTGGTGCCAAGGCATGATATATAATAAGATAAATCTGAATAAATGCATGTCATGAAGCCAATTTTATCATTATTATTTATAATTCTTATTATATGGTCCATGCATCATGCTCTATGATCTCATTTAATACTCATAATAACTCAGTGGATAGGTCTTGTTATTATCCTTATTTGTGAGGTGAAATAATAACTGAGGCCTAGAGACAAAAGTACCTGCTCTATAGCTAAGTGAGGAAGGCAAGATAGGAACAAAGGAAATTAATTCTTGAACTCATGTTCTTCACTACTATGGAATGCAGCACCCAGCTATATCCAGGGCAACATTCCAAAAGCCTACTTAACCTTCAAACACCACTGTATAATTCTTTAGGAGTCACACTATTTGGGTAATTCTAAGGTAGGGGTGTGGGACGTGGGCCTCCAACATGCTGTGTTTCTCCAGCTGCCCAGGGTTTTTAAAGGCAATGAAATCAGGCAAGGGTTGCACCCGGTTGTATTGAATACTGCCAACATCTTACCATTGATTTCCCTGCCTCAGGCATTTATATTAACTGCATTTGAGTCATTTGGGTATTTAAGCATGCCACACCTTCTTTGTTAAAGTCTCTTTAAATTATACTAATAAAAATTTAAATTGGTATCCTCTTCCATGCTTTTCGAGGACAGTGTTGGCTCTCTGTGGCTAGAAATACTTGTTTTAAAATGCCAAAGTGCCACAGGGTGTGGGATGGGTCGAATAGTATCTCCTAAAAAATCTACATCCCCTCAGAATCACAGAGTATGACTTTGTTTAGAAATAGGGACCATGCAGATGTACTTTGTTCAGATGAGTTCATACTGGATTAGGAGAGGCCCTAAGTCCAATGATCCATGTCCTTAGAAGAAGAGTGGACCCCCAGGGAAAAGGGCATGTGCAATGGAGGCAGATAGTGGAGTGATGCAGTGGCCACTAACTCCAGAAACTGTCAGCAGCTATCAGAACCAGGAGACAAATGCAGAACAGATTCTCCCTCAGAACCTCCCAAATGAACCAACTTTACTAACACCTTGATTTTAGACTGCTGGCCTCCGAATAAATTTCTATTGTTTTAAGCCACCCAGTCTATTGTAAGTTGTCATGGTAACTCTAAGAAATGAATAGAGAATATATGATGGAAAAGCAAACTTTCAATTGGTGTGGAAATAGTTATACCTTTTCCTAGATTAAGGAAGGCCCAGTCAGCAGTTTAAATCCATTGCTTTACCACAACATTGGGGAAGAAGGGAGGTTCATGGTCCAGGGTTGTATGAGAATTAGCAGAGGGCTAGCAGCTGATGGAGTGGAATGTCTGACCTGCTTTTCCCTCTGCAGATGGGATTCGAACAGGCAAGCACCGCTCTCTCTTTCACCCAGAGCAGCTTGTTAGCGGGAAGGAGGATGCTGCAAACAACTATGCCCGAGGACACTACTCTCTGGGGTCAGAGATCATCGACCTTGTGCTAGAGAGAATCCGAAAGCTGGCAAGTGGCTCTCTTCTCAGCAGGTTGGGGGAAGTGTGCCTGAGTGCCTGGGATTCTGTGAAACGCCTCCCAAGCATCAATAGCAGTTCTACCATCAACACCATCATCACCCAACCTCTCTTCTCCGAACCTCTTGCCATGCTCAGAGCTGGGAAGTGTCCCGATGTGGGCTTTTATTACACTTTGTTAAGTAGGAAAGGCCACAGAAGCCTTTGCACTTTCTGTACAGCCCCATTTTCTTTTTTTTTTGTTTAGATTTATTGAGGAAATGTTTTACTTTATTTTCCTCCTGCTTTATTGAAATACTAGAGGCCCGGTGCACAAAAATTTGTGCACTCTGGCGGGGGCGAGGGGGTCCCCCAGCCCGGCCTGTGCCCTCTGGCAATCTGGGACCCCTCGGGAGATAACGACCTGCTGGCTTAGGCCTGCTCCTGGGTGGCAGAGGGCACGCCCAATCCCTAGGTGCAGCCCCTGGTTAGGCTCAGAGCAGGGCCGATTGGGGAGTTGGGGTGCTGCCCCCTCATGCACAGAGCAGGGCAGATCAGGAGGTTGCGATGCCACCCTCAGTCACGCTCAGGGTAGGGCCGATTGGGGGGTTGGGGCACCGCCCCCTGTCACACTCAAGGCAGGGTCAATGGGGAGGTTGCGGCGCCACCCCCTGTCACGCACAGAGCAGGGCCGATCAGGGGGTTGGGGCGCTGCCCCCTGTCACTCACAGAGCAGGGCC